CCGGGTGTGCACATATCTTTATCCATATTTTATTCCTGCAATCATACAAACTAAGAAAAGCCATAGGTCAATGACACACATTTATATTATGGTCTTGGTTGGCTACCCATAAAAAAAACACAAAGGTCAAAAAGACTGAGTCTTTTCATTAAAAAAAAGAGACCAGTCTGTAAAAAAAAAAAAAAAAAAAAGGCAACCAATTTATTTGTACAACTTTTTTTTTTTTGAACTTAGCTGAACTTTTGTAATTAAAGCAAAGTCATATGGCATCTACATAAAAGATTTTGATCTTAGTGATAAGATTAGATGATAGAACAAATAAAGCCCTACTGGAGATAACAATCAGAGTAGATCAAGTTCAATCAAGAACAAATATAAAGAATGACAGTGACAATCACATGAACAACCTCTAAGAAAATTGATTTTTACAAATCCCTTTGGTCGACCGTTCCAGGAATTAAACATCCTTCAATCTACTCTTGAAGATGAGCTTGCTCTTCAGGATGCCATGGCAAGGAGATCAAGACAAGCAGCGGCCAACCCCTAATTTTTGCTTTGTTGGCATGTTAGCCACCATATTTGAGTAAACAAACATAGAAAAACAAGAAACAATGAAGGAAGAAACGAAAAAGGCCACCAGAGGAGCCACAAAACAAACGACAGACCACTCAAGGTGATCATCAGACACAAGAGCACGAAAGGCAAGCTCCACCATGCTTGAGAAGCTAGAGGGCTTCCCAGCACCCAAAAGCTCGTGAAGCCGAAGGCTTTTGAGCACCAAAAAAAGCTAAACTTGGGGAAGGTGTAGTCAGAAGGAGGAGAGTTCTAGAGTAGAGAGAGAAAGAAAAGAATTCCAATCTTTTTTGTACAACTTTTATATAATATTAAATAAGTCAATGCATGTAATATTATGTGTCCTAATAGAATGAAAACAATTAATTATTAAATAATATGTAAAATTATATAAAAAAAATTATACATAAAAATTGTACTTAAATTATCCCCCCTCCCACCCCAAAAAAAAGGAAGTTACTAATGTATAAATATAGGATTAGTGTGTCCTTGATAACAACTTTTCTTTTTGCAGTAGCATACTGGAATATTGTGGCCAAAAAAGCATTTACTTTATAAGTATTATTCATGTCTTATAAGTTTAAAATTTTATTAAAAGAAAATTTTAAAATTTTTCTTTCAAAGTGAGTTTTAAAACACATTTAAAAAGTTAATTTTAAGTATTTTTCTTCAATAAAATTTAAAACTGGTGAGAGAGAATAATGCTTTTTAAACTCCACCAAATGTCCTTATTTCTCCTCCAGGTGTCTAGGGATGTAGTGGATCGTGGTCCAAATTGAGGCTTAATTATCTAGGGCATAAATTTGAGAAATGACAATAATTGATACATCCTCTGATTCAACATACTGTACAATGTATTTCGATTCAACAATTAAAATTTATCTTTAAAAATTTTTTCACATGAATTCAAATTAAAAAATAATAATTTCTTAACGAATGTGTTATAGAATATGTTAAACTAAAAGATGTACTAATAATTTTTTTTTTCTTTCCTTATCATAACTTTGGGTTGATGATTAGAGTCGTGATTTTGATTCTAATTAAAGCAGCCTAGTTTTCAAAAACATATATATAATTAACAAAAAGCTCAAACAACATTTCAGCTTGAATGATCATCGGTCAAAAATTCCAAGGACCATTTAGAAGCCACCATATAAAATATAGTAGTTGTGCTTGCTTTGGTCCATGCATGCACATTGGAAAAGCAATCCTTGTTATGGCAAATGGTATTGCATGCCTCCCATATTCTAAGCTTGTTTTGCAAGTTTTAAGCTCGTGGGGATATTGCCTTTTCCCAACTTCTCTCCTCTTTTTCTTGCTTTTCCTTTCTTTTTATATTTACTTTTTATATATACTGACAAAGAAAAAGAAGACAACAATAATTGTCTGATATTAAAAATATTAAAATATTTAATTTTAATCATAAAATAAATAAATAAAATATAAAATTTTTCTAAATTTTATTTATCATGCAGATAAAATTCGAAGATACTATAATGAAGGATCAATTACACTAATATATTAATTTCTAGGCTCATGATCTTGCGTTAACGAAGTTTTGGTGGAGTGATAATGTGATATAATTAGACATTTAGACAAATCAAGAAAAAAAAAAAGGGCGGAAAGAAAAGGAAATATCAAATTAAAGAAAGATGAAAAGGCAAAGAGCACATGGTTGGCTAATATTATTGAGAATGATTGTGTTTGCGAAAACCAGCTTTGTCTAACACAAACCCACGTGAAAGGAAATTACTAAATATTTAGGGTTTTCCATCTATTTGAAAATTAAAGAATTACAAACGAGGGATTACATCAAGTGATAAGCGGTTTGTTCCAGTTTAAGTAAGATCTCGAGTTTGAGACCTTGTGTATGCAGCAGTCCCCGTTGAAAGACTTACCCACAATTTTCAAGTGCGCGACGTAGGTCAAATCCGAATTAATCGGGACGAAATCCTGGATACCGAGCGGGAAACCGAAAAAAAAAATAATAATAATAAGAAAGAATTTATTAAAAATTACTTTTCATTAACTTCCTAAGTAATTAAATCTTTGTCAATAAAATATACAATAAACTCTTTCATCAATTAAGCAATAATTTCTTAAACTAGTAATATTTATAAGTTGGAGAGATTAAATTTGAAACCTTAAGTTGAGTGAGGGATTTGGTAAATCCTTTCTTATATAATTTATAATTATACGTATAGAAAAAAAAAGGTTTATATACTTATTATTAATCTATATATAAATAAATATATTGCTTCACGTGGGTTATAATAAATTTTACTATATTAGTATATATTTATGTTTTTTTTTGAACAATAAGAGAAACGCAATTGAGATATTTATGTTTGGGTGCAAAATAATCATTAAATAAATGAAAATGGCGTAATGCTATTGGTCGACTAACTTTTGAACGACTGTTGACGGGTTATTTTTTTTAATTATAAAAATATAATTAATAAATTAATATTTATTTAAATACTAATAAAAAAATTAATTTAATAATTATATATTACGTTCTACCTTATTTTTCACATAAAAAATGAGAACCACTTAAGTCACGTGAAAATACGAGGTGCTATTTTGTTTGTTATTGCCTTTTGGTATATCATCAGACCAAGTCTCTTATTGCAACGGCATTTTTTGGGTTGCCCAAGCCGCCCCCCACACCACCCTCAGAAAACAAATTTTTTATAAACATCTACATATATATATTGATTATATAAAAAGAAAAAAATATTTTTTTATCTATTATTTTATATTTTATTTACATATTATGCGATTTAAAATTAAAATTTTTTATTTTTTAAAAAAATAAATATTAAATTATTTAGATTGTTGATAAAAATATTCATATTATTATTATTGTTAGGAAAAATTGATTCACACGACAATTTCACTTCACAATAAAATGAGGAGAAGACTAATAGACTTTGGAATGATGAACTAATCATGTGAAAAAACATGAGGGATCTTTTAAAGTATAAAAAGTTATTACTACACAGCTGGTTTTGTACCGCATTAAACTTTCTATGAAAAAATACATTCACATGCAATCATTGACCATTTTTTCAATTAATTAATCTACTGTTAAGGAAACAAACAATGTGATATTGTCAATACACAAACCTGATGTGTAACCAATATTAAATTTATTTTTTTTATTAATAACTATGAATTATGTAATTCACACAAAACAAATTTTTAAACAATAATTTCTTATTAATATCTTAGTATTATTATGATATTGGTATTTAGATATCTCGGATCTGGTTGTTCTTCTAGTATCCCTTTTAATGATCTCTCTCAATCTATCATAAGATTATAGGTTAGTAGGATACATGTAGTACTAAACTTCTTTAATTAGTATTAATTAGTGGGAATTTTTTTTTGAACAGTAAGGAATTCTTTTTTTGGGAAAGGGGGAAGGGGGCTTGGAATTTGATCCCAAGCTCTTGTAGTCCTAAGCACGTCCTTGCAGGGGTGGTCATTGGGGCGACCAAGTACTGAACATTAATTAGTGGGAATTGACTTTGCAGCTTCATTAAATAGTAATAATTTAGAATCTGTACCCCCTTTGAGAAAGAAATGATTTTGGATGAAAAGCATACAAGAGGCACCTTAATGATTTGGGAATGGCCAGCATTTTCCACCTCAAAAAGAAAGATATGTAACAGCAGGGATTTCAATTCCCATTTCACTTTCAATTCTACTTGGTCCCTTTTTTACCATCTTTTAGTCGAAATCCAACCAATTAACTCTTCAATATGTATCACTGAATGTAAACCAAAAAAGAAATGTCAAGTCGAAATTCAAAAATATGTTCACTAAGTTTTGTAGAATATTAATTGTGGTGTTGGGTGATGCATAGAAAATGATTATTACAGTAGTTTCTTGGCTTTACCTCTTTGGACAGGCGCAGTTTTTGGACAATTTGGCTTACAAATTATGATAGGGATATGGTAAGGGTCTAAGGGATGGGGCCTTAGAGGTTTAAGTGTCACATGTCTACCAATTAGAAAAGGAACAGGAAA